AATGATTGCGTCTTTGAGGCGTTCCGCCTGTATATATCTATATATTTTAATAGACATTCTATGCATGTATATTTTGTTATTTGATATGCTATTTATGCGACGCTGCTGTGCTGTTTTGTATATAGGGAGTATAGCAATATATGGGACGCGTGCTACGCGCTGTTCTGAGTATAGGAAAAGAGTATAGATGTGAGTATAGAATTTTCTATGATATAGAAAGCGTTATGTAGATAGGGCGGTAAAAACATATAAAAGGCCGCGAGTTGAGATATAGAGAGACTGGTTGTTTGTTATTTTTATTTTAGGTTTTGTTTCTTGCTTGGTAGTTGTATTATTAATAGATTAATTTTGGATTTATCGTTTTTTTTAATAAAGACAGGTTTGATTTGTATTATTTTGTTTGTTATTTTGTTTCTTTTATTGAATAAAAGAAGTGTACACTTGAAGTTTGGCTCGGCTTAATTATTCTACCTAAAATAATGGATGTTGAAGAAGACTTGCTGATAGTTGACGAGGTCGGCGTCTCTAGTCAACAAGCAGGGCGCGAACAAACTTCCGCCCGGCCCGTGTTTTCAGACCCTGAGAGGGTCTATTGTAGAGTGGCGGATCCCGGCCAGGAAAGACTCTGCCGAAGCGAAGGCTCGGGTGGATATTCGTATGCGGACGCGGTTCGGATGTCGCCCGGCAAAAATCTACATATATATTGATTAATGTCTAAAATTTGTTTGAGTTTGTTTATGTGTGTTTGTATGTTCTGAGTTTTGTTAATTTTCAAGTGGCTGTCAATCGTTGCGATAAGGATATTGCGAATTTTTTATTTCATTAAAATTTTCATTAAAACTTGAAAGGACAATACATTACAAAAATGTCCAAACAGTTTGCCGATATCTCAGCATACCATCAATTAATTTCATTCTACTCAGAAAATTAGATTACAAAATTTAAAAACATCAAATAAAGTTTAAAATATTATTATTAACACCAAAAAATAATGAAAACGTCATTTCAATAAGTATCAAAGAAACTTTATGTTTCAAAAGGAGGTGAATGCGGAATGGAGCACGCCTGCTGTTGTTTGATGTCAAACTCTAACGCTTCTTTTGCTATCATATCTGGATTTGTTGCTTTCAAGGAACTGAAACAAAAGTCGATGGCCAGGGGTTTTCTCAATTCTGTACAGTTTATGCAAAATTTAGATGTCTATCGTTTTTTAATGTATCTAGTGCGTTTTATACATTTTCATGCACATGCTAGTGATCATCTCATAGTCGACGTTGCCTAACTCAACATGCACGGAAAAACTGACGATACCTTTTTTTTTTATTAGTCTTTATTATTGCAGCTCTGACATACGCAGGACCACTTACAATGTTACTGATATATCATCTATATATCTTTATTATGTTCTTCATATCTTCAACCAATGATATGAAGCAGCCATCTTTTGCCACAAAGGCTGTTTGTTTATCCTTTTCACACGACGTACACATGGATTTATGTGCACGCGCAAGCACCGCATCATATACGCTGAGTATATGATAGCCATTGAGATGTTTGACTCACTGTGCATTCGAACCACTGAGCCATCTCGCCGGCCAGCATGCGACAACTTACGTCGTCTACCTCATGAAACTTTTATATGTTGGATGACTTCATGCTTGCGTATGGGTACTGATTTAAAATATTTTCATTAGTTGTTTCTTTAATACAAAGACACACTCCTACTGCATAATGCATAATTCACGGAACGTCTATCATTCTTTCATCTTTGTATACCTTGCGCTCTACGTACATTTATAACGAAACAAAAAATTTATTATCTGTTCAGCAGAGTAGTAAATTTTATACAATTTTAAATCTCTCTGCTTTATTAAGATTATTCTTTTAAATGCTCATCACTTCTCAAATTGATTTAAAAATGGGGTGCGAAAAAATTTCATTAAACGTTCTTCAGTTAACGCAGCATCTAGTACGAAAGGGAAAAACGCTCATTTTATTTCATGGGCAGAATATCATGAAATCGATAAAATAATAAATAAATAATGCAGAATTTAATTCATGTCGCTTGCAAATTGATTTTACTGTAGTGAATTAGACTTATTTCTTTAAAAATTCTTGTAAAAACGTCAATTGTTGCTGAATGAGATATCATAAAAATTACAAAGAAAATTTGGAAATTGTCAGTCTAAAAAATAGAAGTTGAATTTTAGTAGGTACGCTTTTAAAAGCAAAAACTTAATAGCCATACAAATGAATACAATAAACTTTAAATCCTATCTCACCGTAAGCAATTCTGTGGATTACACCTAGCTTCAGAAAGCTATAAGAGTGTAGGTAAACTTTGAAACCTCGCTTTCCGAAAAATTTCATGGCTCTGTCGTTGTCTGGGTGTAGATACAAGTTCATGAAAAAACAACCTTCCCTATTAACATGTTCAAATAATAAATTTTTCATTCAATTCCACATTATAAATTAAAAGGTAATTCATTTACTTAACCCATCAGATATTTCTTCGACGGTATCATAGAGACTCGAGCCAGTCCCAAGATTACGATAGTCATAAGCCACTGAGATCTCCTTAATGTTGCAGTGAAATTCTTCATACTCGCCGTTCTGTTGACACAACACTGTCAAGTTCATAGTTTAGATTTCATTCAATACATCACTGACCGTCCACGTCCACATCAATTCATCCGCAAATATCAATTTTAGGTGGTTTGTTGACCATATCATTAACAGATAAATTATCTCTCTTAATAAAAGTATCAAATAAATAAATGGTGAAAATATTATAAAAATTTTCAATAACATGGTGGCGGCTAAAAAAAAGTTTGCTTCTCGCACCTTATATTTTCAATGTTTTTAAACTTATAAATGTTTATAGAAGCAAAATCAGGCCTGTAGAGAGGTTTGTTTGAGTGAAGGGGCAAATGTTTTCGGGATGGGCAACTTTAACAACGACTTCATCTTTCATTTTATATTATTTTATGCCAAATATCAGTAAAAATGGTAATAATTGTTAATAGTAATTACAAAAAATAATTTTTATAAACTTCTTGTTATTCAATTTGTGAAACAGTACATTATTTAAATTTTATCTTAAAAAATCACTATTGTATCCTATAGTTTCAGAACGTTTCAAGTCCACACTTTTGCAAAAATGTATGTCTTATTTTTAAATTAATTATGTTTTTTTTCAATAAAATACATTATTAATTTTTTTATGAAAATTTAGGGTAGGCAAACCGATCTTCTAGGGTGGGCAAACCGATCTTCTAGGGTGGGCAATGACCACTTTGAACAAAATGTTAACTAACCGTATCCTTCGAGCTCACCAGACGGCGAGACCGCAGTGAATGAGTGTGAACTTCTTTCAGTGTAGTATTTCAAATACATGTCAAATTGATACTACATAATTAAAATGAAACGTAATCAGTCTGGTTCGCATGTTAATAATTATTTTAAAAATGTCGATTCAATATTTAGCTAAAAGACATGACTTACAGTGTCCGTTGTTGATTCTAAATTTCTTTTTCGAAATAGAAAAAATAAATTAGGTTAGTTAGGCATTATCTACAATGGGCTCTCAATATTAAAAAAAAATATTTTACTAACATGTTGTTGAATTTGAACATATCAGTCCAATCAAACAGTTTCACAGTTGCCATTCTGAGATGAATTTTATCGTTATTTTCCAAAAAAAACTTTAGAAAATTCAAACAGCTTGAATGTAGTTACACGACAACGCCGTTTATAGGCGCTTTATTTAACGTGGTATTAAATTGCATATGAATCATTTAACAGAGTGCACGCGTGTTGTACGCAATCAAATTCTCCTTTGTTTAATGCCATCATGCTTTATGTACTTACTAGCTGTTGATGTGTTGTTTTATTCTGTAATTATAATTAAATGAATTATAGACTGGTATACACTAAAAGAATAAATTTCGTACAAAGGCGTGCCTCCTCTGAAGCCCTCTCAGAGCAAAAAATTTAGCTAACGTTAAGAGTATACGTTGAACGAAATCACTATATAAATTTGTGTGTATAAATTGCGACTGGAAATTGTTTCAGTACTTCTCCAAGTTTCGTAACATTTGTATAAAACACCGGTTTAAGTATCACTATTGATCAAAACTATCACTATTGACCAAAAAATTTTAAAAGGTCGCCAACGTTTTTTAATGAGTTTAAGCTCCCGCCCAAAGTCCTTGCCACGCCAATCAGTACAACAAAAATACAATTTCTTAAATGACCGCTATACTCTAATAAAAGAAGCTAATGCACAAATTTGCGAATGTACGAAATGTATTTCTATCGACTGGCTGAAATACTGTTTTGACTAACGATAACGCGTAAAACAGTTCACACTTGACATTTGCATCAACCAAGCATTTGCAGACATAGAAGAAATAGTCAGCTTCGGTGTCATCTATATTTTAATTCGTATCTATCGAAAAGTTTACGTAGTTGAACGTGATTACTTAATGACAAATGGGTGGTGTGATGGCCTAGTGCTTAAGGTCGCCTGGTCATGTTGTGCATTGACCTGGTTCGAATAAGAGACAAAAATACCCTGCCTCTCACACGCATTGTGCAAGATGCGTTATTTATTGGCGCGTATTCATATACGCTGAATGTGTTGTTGATCATCTGAACTTTGGAGGATTATGATGGATTCTTTTTAGCCATTTATCGTGTCGGGCGCAGAAACGCGTCAATTCAAACAAGTGGCTGGGCCCAGAAAATACAAAATGAAGCAGAATTGAGAATTTAAAACTCGAGAGCAAAATTTCTATTAGCTATTGGAAACTCTCCACAACTCTGACGTTTATGGTATACTGCATCCACAAGCGAATAATGTAAAACAAACAGACAAGCAATCAATTTGACTTTTAAGAAATTTAATGCATTAACACAGAAACATATTTAATTCTCAAATCATTAGAAACAAATCAAAAAATTAACAAATAAGTGTGAATTAGCCTGAAGAGCTGCGTTTAGAGCTCTTCAGGCAGAACGGGTCTAGGAAATGGAATAATAGATTTTTTGTCCACATCTCTTGATAGTGCCTTCCTCATATCTGAAAAGCGAAAAACATCAATAAAATAATAACAATTATAAGTACAGAAAAACATGTGAGCAGCTCTGCACTTGATGGAGATGCATTATAACTTATTAAGCATAAAATAATAATAATATCAAATAATTTGAAAATTTGTGGTGATAGTGAATATTAACCATGGGCATTTTCATCTGTTTCTCCAGTGTAATAGTTGAGGACATCCCTGAAGACAACGTATCCCAACCTTTTATACATATCAATGGCTACTTCGTTTGACACTCGCACAAAAAGATCAACAAAATAACATTTCTTTCTGAAAAAAGTCAACATTTAAAATAAGATGAAAAAGTACATTTGTTGAGTGCATAGCAGATGATGATGATCTAACTGTTCTGAAACTTCTTCCATGATATTCATCAGTTTGGCGGCCACCCCCAATCGTCTGTACTCAGGTGCCACCGTTAATGCTGTCACATGTCCATGCCAATTCTCACCGGATCCTTCCGCTTTTCCCATCACTGGAAGTAAGTAAAAAATATATGCACAAATTCATACAAATAGAAATATTTTAAAATATTTCATAAAAAAATTAAGGTACAGAGAAGAAACACTAAAAAAATTAACAATAGCCCATAATGTCTCCAGATGGTGATTCTGCACTGTAGAAATATTCAGAACTGTGCACATAATATTGTAAGTAAAATGAGATTCCATACTGCAAAGTAAATAAACAAGTTTATTTCAACTAATTATTATTATTTATTTATCAATTCCTATTGCAACTTGCTTCAAGTCATTTATTTGTTTTATAAAGTTTTTGTTTAGTAGTTTATTTAATTGTGTAGCTATGCTGCTATACAACAGCGTACCGTAGCCATGTGAGCAATATACAATATAAAATAAAAAGAACAAATAGTTATTTTTATTTTACAATCATATCTCACAGCGAGTAGTCAGTGCTACCAGAACACTACAGACTATACTATAGATAGAACATTATGAATATACATCCAATACATATTATTATACAACTTGCATAATAAAATACAAGAAAGAAAACAAAAATAAAATATAATATTCATAATATAAACAAAAATTATGCCCACTGTTTCAGTCAATGGATCCATGTTAACATTATTAAACTTGAACAAGTCATCACAGGTGAACGGCCTAATGGTGGTCATCTTCGGCTGCTACCTGTTTCAATGTCTCCAACGATCTTCTTCTATTTAGTTGCCGATCTATCTACTATAACTTATCTTATATACACACGATGTTTTATCTATCTTCTCACCATAACTATCTCTAACACCATTCAAAGAGTTAAAGTTAAAATAAAATTAACGTCGTTTACCAAAGAAATTGTAATACAGTACAATACTTAAGAGACGTATACAGGCTCTCGAACGCACCCGCGCACATTTTCAGTCTCTTCTTTTAGTTCCCATCGTTGCATCCATATATATTCTATATATATATATATATATAGTTACATCATATATTATTTTTTTCTTTATATTATATTATTTTATTTTCTTTAATATATATATTAACGTATATATATAGTTAAAATTTAAATGCTTTTTTGTTGTGTAGTATTTTTACTTTTTTTTTAACAAAGATTAAATAATATTGTGTATTAAAAATTAACTTGGAGTTTCTTTGGTGCTTTTACAATATACCATATATATCATATATAGAGAGGATTACACATAATCTTGAGTCGGACCGACGCTCATGCTTAAATAAAGATGGCGATGATGGCTGAAATTGATTCTTGTAGCATGGTTAGATATCAATGTTTTTGCTATGAAATTGCTATTATAGTTAAAAAACGCATTATCGTTCAATAAATTTGTAAATTGATTAATTTTTAGAACGAAATGGCTTCGAATGTGTCATCATCATTGATGAACAGCACTGAGAACAGCAGAGAGGAGAACAGCAGAGACACTGATGGTTTGTTTTTGCTCTCATCTTGAATCTTGTTCTTTCGTTTCGTTACTTTTCCATCAATTATGATATGATTTATTTGTTTCGGTATTTTTTATTGAAAAGACATTCCACATGCAGGGTGTACCACTGTACCTATTTAAAAAGTTATAAAAAATAAACTATTATATAAAAATAAAATAAAGTTAAGGACAAAAAAGTCAAAACTGTTTTATCTTAGGAATGCGACGTTTGATTTGCATAGATCATAAGAGAATCATAAGCTCATATGACATATATACTATAATAATAAATAAGTAGACAGGAGCCTGAAAGTCTTTTATTATGTTGCTCATTTTCTTATGTTGTAGGATGATGAGAAGACTCACTTTCAATTCGACGGATTGTTTGTCAACCTTATCTCAAATGTAATTGGTTGAATCAATGAACCACAGTTTAATTGAATTAACAAATATAATTAATGTTTATTTGATTTTGTTTAATAATTTTAATTAATTTATTTATTTAGTTTTAATTATATCTAAATCCATGTAATTGCAATCATAATTATGTAAATTTTTTTGAGGCTTAGATTTTTATTTGCAGTTTGCTGTACATACATGTAATCAGAGCTGGTTGATGAACTTAATGTAATATTTCAAAATTTTGACTCACTATAATAATATAATCACTGTATAATTTATAATACAAATTTGGCAGGAGTTGGTGCAACTTTCAGCAAAATTATGAACTACTATATAATATTTTGATTTGATGATTTTTCTATATTATATAACTATAAAATTTATATACATATTTCCTAACTATTCGATAATATACAACAATAATTTGTTTTATTGTCTGATAAAAACTGATGTATTTAAATTTAAGGATTCAATGATCTTATGTCAAACAATGTCGTAGAGGAGAAACAGGTCGGAGTTGTGTTGATGGGACCAGGAGCCAGGAAGGACCAGCAAATTTATGACTTGCCAAAACTAACAAGTCTCCAAAAAGAAAACATTCAAAAAGCAAAAAAGTATGCAATGGAACAAAGTATCAGGACTGTTTTATTGAAACAGACCATCACCCATCAGCAACAGGTTTTCAACGTTGACTGGCTGATTGATTTCTTTAATGAATGGTGGTGCTCTTTTATAGGAGTGCACCAAATTTGCATTGGACATTGTAAATAATTCAATTAAAATTATATTGGCTTTTACTCTTAAATATTTTCAATTTATTTTTTCATCACAAAATATTTTTAATTTTCGAAACAGCAAATGATGAATTTACAAAATTCAATACAAAGACAGCAAGCAGTTGCTTTAATGTGCAGGTTCACTACAAATCTTATTTGTTTTTTTTAATTTCTTCAATTTACTTATTTTCTTCAACTCCTGCACTAATCAACATTAATATAATCAAAATATTATTTTTGCTAGAGTATACATAGGCTCAATAAATTTTGAAATTAAAGAAGAAATGATCAGGCAAGCATTTCTACCATTTGGTCCAATCAAAAGTATGAGCATGCCTTACGATACTGTGGGCAAACATCACAAGGTTGGTTGGTTTTTTGGTCCTCATAGGTCGATCAACTTTCTATTTTTTCATTCAAGTAGCTAGTAGTTAGTATAATTTATAAAAAAAAGTAATGTATGAAACTTGATGATGCCAGGGGTTTGCATTCTTAGAGTACGAGACCCCTGAGGCAGCAGCTCTTTGCTTGGACCAGATGAATGGTATCATGATATCAGGGTACACTATAAAGGTCTGTAAGGTCTGTGACCTATGCTTCTTCTTCAATTAAGTAACTTATCCTATTACCATTTATAATAGCTATTTTAATAATGTTTATAAATTTTTATAAAAATTTATTTTAACTGAATAAGAATAGTTGACTCTTATTATCTTTTAGCTTTCAACTGTCTTGCTTTGTTTGCAAATGTAGTTGGCTACTTATTTCTCCACGGCCTTAAATTTACATAAATTTTGTTTACCGTGCAACTTCTTATACAGTATCATGGACTCTGTTTGAGTTTTAAATATAAATTTTTTGGTGGAAATATTTGTTCTCTTCCTGGTTTACAGAGAGGAACTGAATGAGTAGCATTGTCTCTATGTCAAGAAAGAATTTCATAGTGTTAGAATGTTTTCATTAATATTCACTCAAAAACAATGCCGATAGATCATTCACAAATTGAACGAACAATTGGCAGCCATATAAGCTGTGGCAAATCTAGACAATGTTGATGAGTGGACTGAAATTTAAAAAATGTTACATATTTCAAAAAAATTATAAATGTTACCACTTTTTAAATTTGACCAAGAAATTAACCAAATGTTTGCTAGTGTAGCCAACTTTAGGCCTGCAAGATTTTTTGCTAACACACCATTTTTGTTTGATTTTGTACTTGAAAACGGTCTCAAATTGGGACATAATATAGGGTGGCCATTGCGGCTCCGTGTAAAGGAATTATTGCATACACTGCATATGGTAATCTTTCTAATTAGTGAAAATTGTAACTGTAGAACAGTTTTCATCAGCTCAGATTTCATTTCTCAGGTTCTTCCTCCATCTATTCAATTCTATCTCAACTTACATCTTTTCTCTTTTTCTCATCCTTCCCAATATTCGATTTTATGGGTTGTCATAAATCTGCCATCTCCTGGCTTTTGTTTGCAAATTTATGTGGTTTAAGGAATTTGGTTTTGAAAATTTAAAAGGTTGGTCGACCAAGTAACATGCCACAAGCTCAGATAATCATCGACAAGATCATGGAAGAATCCAAGTCGTATAATCGAATATACGTTGCTGCCATACATCCAGACCTCACTGAAAATGACATTAAAAGGTTTCCATGCATTTAGCTGTATTTTAGCATGCTTAATTGGAATGTTTTAATTGATTAGATATACCGTTTAATGATAATAACCTGTATACAAATATTTATACAAAGTGTGTTTGAAGCATTTGGCCGCATAACACATTGTCAGTTGGCACCTGATCCTAATAGGCCTAACAAGCACAAGTGAGTTTGCTGAAAATTATTTTTCTTCTGAAACAATGTTCTTAAATGTATTGATGTTTGTTATAAATTATTGTCTTGCCATTATTTATCAGTCATTTGTTGCAATAAAATCCAGATAACATGCTGCCTTTTCAATCACCATTGTATTGTCATAATAATTAATGCAAGTTACTTTCTATTTCACTTCAGAGGTTATGGTTATTTAGAATTTGAATTGTTGCAGAGCGCGTTGGATGCTGTTATGGGCATGAACTTGTTTGATCTAGGAGGACAGCACCTTCGAGTTGGAAGGGTGAGTGGTGGAATGTTTCAGTGTTGTAGTGATGCTGATGATTATAGAAAGTTGATGTGAAAGTTTGGTGCATGACATCAGTAGCATGTCATAGCATGGGAATGTGATAGAAAAACAACAACAACATGGATAAATATTGTCTGGATGCATGTATTTTTATGATTTTTGCTAGAAGTACCTTATCCAAAAATGTCCTTTGTGATACTTTTAAATTATAATAAAATTTTAACAGGCCATTACTCCGCCAAATGCATTCACGCCACCTCCAACATCTGGATCACTTCCAACAGCATCTGCTATTGCTGCAGCTGCAATAACTGCAAAGATAACTGCGCTGGAAGCCATCAGCAAGGTCGGTTTCTTTTCATCTCTACTCTACTCATTTCACCTCTGTTTCGTTATCATCCATGAACAGTAATGTATTTTAAAATTATATTTTAGCATAGTTTTGATCCTCAAAATTTAAATAAAATCATTTTAGAATCGTGTAAAGATGCCAACCACATTTCAAAAGTTAAAGCTTAAAATTTTTATTAGTTTCCAAAAAAAAATTAGTTGTCATATATGAATATATACATAAGGGCATGCATATTAGAAATTTGCTAAATGTTGGGTTATAATAAGTGTTGCAATATTATTTTGGTTGTTAAAAGTTTTCAGTTTTTACTTTTTTGTTTGTGTTCAGCAAGTTTAAAGTTTTGTTTGTGGCACCTAAAAGAATGTACTTGTTTATCAATCATGACAAGTTAATTTTCCAATTTTTATTAATTTGAAAATTTAATGCAAATTTGCTAACAAATGCCAACAAGAAGAAAACAACAATTGCAAAAGTTCAAAACCACTTGAAAGCCTTATAAACGGAATTAATTGTGCTGTTCAAGACAATAACAAACAACGCTTTTTTGCAATCTTTTTTATAAATTTCATGCATTTATGTTTTATTGTAGTGTTGTACTGGTTAAAAATAATTTTTAAATTAGTATCATTATTTTGTTTTTTACTAATAAAATTATGAAATGCTTTAATTTTACTGACAGCCGGTAGGTGTGGTTGAAATTAATCCAAGTCCTCTGCAGACGTCATCTCTAGCTAATGATGAAAATTCAAGTGAGATAGCAATTCTTTGCTCTGTTGTTTTTGCTATTTCTTTATCCTCAGTTCTAAATAAATATTAACTTTCTGTACATTTTGTTCTTCATTTAAGACTCTCCAGCAACAAGTTCAACGCGTCAAAGAACATCCAAATTTGGAGGTGAGTTTATTTTTATATTTATGTTCATTTGTGCTGCACAGGTGCTGTTTCTTAATGTTTCTGTTAATTAGTTTCAATTGTAATATGAAGTTATAAAAATTAACATTGAGCAGGATTCAGTAGTGGGCCAGGATCGACCAACGTACCACCTCCCAGCATCTACATACCTCCCACTACTCTCGTCAATTCTGCCTCCACTTCAACTTCTAGTGAGTCCATTTGATCGATAACATTTCAACAGTTACAATGAAATCTAAAACTTACTCAACACAACATTGTAGTTCTAGCTCGACTTCATTGATTTACTCTTAAATAACAGGCACTTCAAAACGACCACCTACGAAGGGCGACCCTAACAGCAAATCATCTTCTGACTTGAAAAAGAAACTTGAGATAATGGCTGAGATGTCGGAGTTGGCTGACATCCAAACATTACAACAGCAGGAAGACATTCAGATAAAGGGACACCAGGCCAGACACATGGTCATGCAGAAGTTGCTTAGAAAAAAAGAGGTATGTTTCTCAAAACGCTCAATTCAAATGATTTCAATTGATTGTTTTTTGTAGTCCACCTTGTGAACGCATAGTTTGTGTTGTTTATTTTTCAGTCGTGTTTTTACGTTTACAAATTTATTCCTATAAAAATTGAAGAAGGCAGGCATTTATTTTTATTATCCTTTATGTTCAGAGTCGAGTCATGGTGCTGCAGAACATGGTGGGACCAGAAGATGTGGATGAGGAATTGGAACACGAAGTCACAGACGAATGTTCCAAGTTTGGTGAAGTTGAAAAAGTTGTGATATATCAGGAAAAGCAAGGAGAAGATGATGACGCTCCAATATTTGTTAAGATATTTGTTGAGTTCAAACATCCTACAGGTTGGCTACGTGTTGCTTCTAATAAACTCATCTTATTGCAATTTGTTATAATTTCTTAGTTTCTATTTTTAATTGCTTGCTGCAACATTCTGTCACTGCATTCGTGTAATGGTTTAATTGCAATTTTTTATTACATGTTGTACCCAGGGGTCGAGGCAGCCGTCAGTTCATTGAATGGTAGATTTTTTGCAGGCCGAACTGTGTCAGCCAAACGATACGATCAAGATTTATATGACAACAATGATTTCTCTGCATAATTATTATCTTCAAAAAATTGTTTTAAAATTAATGTGTATTATTATTTGTGAATGTGTAAAAAGCATTTGTATGGCAAGTGTTATAGTTTTATTTAGAAACTGTATCTTACAAAGAATGAATGATTTGTCTGTTACTTTATTATTATTACAAACTTAGGATGTAAATATAAATCTAAATTTTTATTTAATTTTACTTAACAAAAAACGCGTATTGTCACGGAAACAATAAAATATTTTATGCATTCGGAAGATCATGAAATGGGTGGGGTAGAAAATATGTTTTTTAAGAGTCAAAGTAAGCGTTAAGATGCGGCTGCTACTCAGCGTTTGTGAATTTTTTTGGTCAGCTGCATCTAGAATGTTGTTTCACTCCGAACAGTCTGTTGACTTGACCAGTTAGTTCAAGCTTTGTGCTGTCAATTCGAAGAAGGCTTCGTTCTGGAGCAGAAATACCTGTGAGATATGTGTATTGTTGATATGGTCTAATTCAATGTGATTGATCGTGTAGGTACATAAACAGGCGCACAATGAGTTGACACGGTTGATTCAGATGTAGGTGTGAAACGAATGGAGATGGGTGGAGGTTTTTGAATTGTAATATTAAGGAGGGTAGTATGCCATATTTTCTTTATAATATATAACTTCAAAAGGTATCTCAGTATCTCGCTCGTGTATCCATGGTCTGCATACATCTGTGACTGATACTGCGTCCAGTTTACAAAAATTTTGACCTATTATATCTGGTACATAACCAAGTTAAGAATTATTTCCCAGTCGTGTGTCTCTGGATTATTTACCTTCTACTTTTTACTGACACTCATTTTGCTTCACTCAATATCTTATCTCAACAAATTTCATAGAATTTAATCTTTATTTAAATCAATCTATATCTATTGTCATAAAAATTAATTTTGCGTTGTTAATTCTTTCTCTTAATGTCACAACGCAATTTTTCAAAGCATCCTGCAATTTAAACCTTTCAGTTTTTTTAAATTTTCATTGAAACGTTTGCATTTTCGGTTTTCCAGATAGAGCTTTCTCTTTGTTTAATGATCTGCACTTTATAGACATAAGTTCAGTGATCACCAAATCAATTCCGTGAAATAAAAAATTCCGCCAATCATCGTCCTATCAGTTACCTTCTGTTTATTTAATTCGTCCCTATGTAATTTGACCGTATTTACTGAATTAAAGAATCAAATTATATTAATTAAATCTTGAGAGCAAGCAAGAGTTGATTGCATTCCAAGCAAACTTAGCGAAATGAAAATATATTGTTGATAAATCCATACACATACTCGTACCTCATTGCCCCAAGAAGTCCAACCAGACTGCAGATTGCGGGCAAATAATTCCAAACACTTGGCATCTTCTGGCAGATGATCTTTAAAAACTTCTTTGAATTGATAAAAAGGATTCATTTGTTTAAAGCATAATTAACTTTGGAGTTTAGAATCGCATAATAAATTCATACATGATTCTGAGAAGAAAGTATTTATCTGAGGTTCCTGCATGTTAGTCAATGTCGTAATTTTTTCTCAATTATGCAACCTTATAATTTTATTCACACAGCTCACATTAATATCAAACATTCTTTTACGAGGTAGACAAGTGTCTGCTTCAAGTAAGTTTAAAATGTACTGTTCATTCAAATAATTGAAAGGATGCAAAGAATGACAAACCACGAAGGTAGGGCTTGTGAGAATGTATGGCTGATGGAACACTAATGATGACCATTCTGTCTTGTATTTCTTTGCTTTCCAAACTTTCTGATTTCTGAACAGTGTCTAGGTTAATGTTATTAGTTCTATGTTTACTACAATCAATATTGCTGTTTGACATGAGGTGATATTTCTCTAATCTAAATCTTCCCAGCATGAGGAGTTCATAAGGCTTCTTCGGATGTTTTGTTGATGATGTTGAGAGCAGTAATGGATATACAGGCGTTAACTTTTTTGTCACCTAAAGTGCATTCAAAAAGAAGTTATTTAGATAAAACCGGTCTGAGAGGTTAAATTTAAAAGTGAAACAGTGGCGAACCTTCAACCAGTACCACGTGGCAACAAACTGAAGATTCCATGATGGGAACAATTCCTCCCTTACATAATCTTGATATTTTATTTTATTTGTGACCCACACAGCAACAAGGCAGTTTTCATTGCACCACTCAGGCATTGGTATTTTCACAAGATTCAGCATTGAAAAAGTTTCATAGCTAATTTAATTTCATGTTTTTAAAGTTGAAAACTCAAAATTTTAAAATATTTTGAATGTTAACGCAAAAATGATTAAATCCTAATTCTTTAGCCAAAATTTTAGACTACTGCAGAAAGTTTCAAAAACACAAAACTCTAACACTACCTCTTTTTTCGTTTCACAGACTTATTTTGCCATGGAGGATCAACAACAACGAAATCAAACTTGGTTTCAACTGAAATTTTAATATTGAAATATTAATAAAATAATCGCCATCCAAGAACTCATCATCAAAATTACCTTTTGCTAATAAGTCTATTTCACTGAAATCTGACAATAGAAACGAAGAACGGGGTGGTATGATGTAACAGCCATCAGAATTACTCAACAAATTAGCGCAAACGATTTCTTCACTGCTGTTTATTGCTATTTTGTTTAAAATGTTTTTTGGATCTGCCTGCAAATTAGCACACAGCAACAATTAAAATAATCTGTGCAATCATAAACATTGATAAGTATTTTAGTATTTACTCTTACTAAAGTGTGAACATCCACAAGTGAGCCATCATCAAAACATTCATCAACGTAATCATCGTTGTGGATTTCATAATTTCTGCCACCACCCCGATGAATATTCAAAGAACTGTAAAAACTTTCTTGAAGTCGAGCTACAAACTTATTCATGTTTCTGGATTTGACATTATTATCACAAGTGACTTCATTAACATCCTGTAGAACAGAAATATTATGAAGGCAACATCAGTAGTAGTAGCAGCAGCTGCAGCAGTAGTAATAGTTGTAGTAGTAGTGGTAGTAGAAGTCGTAGTAGTAGGAAGGTGATGAATTAAGATGATAGTAATAGTAACATCATTGTTAATATAACAAGGATTAGTCTGAAAAGTACTAACAATATTTTCTTCTGTATTGAATGGAATTTTTAAATTTGACGAGTTATCATCATCTGGATTGAAGTTGTCATGACGATGGTGGTGGCATTCCAATGTTTTTAAGGAAATTTCTTTCAAGACATTTGCTATGTATTCGTCTAACACAAACTGTTAGATAGAGGAAGATTTTTAAATATGAGTTGAATTTTGTTCAAAGTTTTAAAATAAAAAGTTTTTTCCTTAAATTAGATTGTAATTCAAAATCATATCAAAATTCACTAAATTTTCTTTTATTCTTTATAAAAAAAACTCTTACAGATGCTAAATTACAACAGGCAAAATGAAAATATTTTATGAAATGAAGAAAATAATAGAATATTCTAAACTAAATAAACTATAAATAAATAAATTTAATTAAATAGAGTAAATATTAAATAATAATAAGATAATAATAGTTAGGAACTTAATAATTTAATAAAAATAACCATATCAGAGTCTGTTGAATTTGAATGACCTGCAATCAAATCATGCTTTCGCTTGCACTTTCTCTTTAAAAAATAACACTTTCCATTAACTATTAAATTTTAAAATGAACGCATTAAAAAAAGTTAAAAAAGTATTCAAAAAAATCAAAAACTTTCTTCAGCAAGCGATTTTCATTTTCACTATGAGAGTGACAACTCTGCAACTTCTCAAATTGAGTATCACACAAGAACTGTTGGTTGATGTCGTACAGGTTGGGACTGCAAGAAAAACAAACTTTCCCATCAAATCTGGAATCATTATTTTTCCGTATTTTAATATTTTTCAACAAATTATTTGCAAACAACTCGTTGTCAATGTAAACTCCATTTTTGCATGCCCACAGAACCGACATTTTGTGAATTATCGCTCATCAAAGACGCAATACGAAATATAATTACTTATACTTCATGAATATATTTATGAAGATAAATAATTAAATATAAACTAAAATTCTATTTCTTTTATCCTCACTTAATTGTAGTGTGAACTATAGATAGTGTGGTGAACATAGATAAATCCATGAGTATGAATGAATTTGAAAGAGCTTTGGATAACTGTTGGTCTAACGTTATGTGAAAATATAACTATATATATATATATATATATATATATATATATATATATATATATATATATATATATATATATAGTAACAAAGAAGTAACAAAAACTAGCATTGTAAATAGTGACAAAGAAGAGTATGATGCTATCGATGAAGAAAAGGACCAAAGAAGATGACCAGCCAATAAAGAAACCTGACACCTAATTTCCATCTAAATTCACTTTGACAAAGTCAATCTCCATCTAAATTCATTTTGACAAAGTCAATATTTACCTATATAAACAGCAGAAAGCACTGATGATGATTCATTCGGAATCGAAATATGGCCTTATTTGCAGCATAAATTCGGAAAATAAGTTTATTTTGAATTTTAATAAACTAAACGTTCACCGAATGTTATTTTCCGAATTCATGCTGCAAATAGGGCCATGAATCATCATCAGTGCTTTTTGATGTTTATATAGGGAAATATTGACAAAGTCGATATATATATATATAGAATATATTGTTATTCTATATATATATTATATTATATTCTATATATATATATAGATTATACGAAATTTTTTTTATTAGAATTAATTAATTTATGTGAAAGTGTGAATGAGTTTAAAAGAGCTTTGGAAAATTATTGGTTTAACTCATGGATATATACCCATATATATATATATATATATATATACATATACATAGATATATATATATATATGGTCTAACATTATATGGAAATATGAATGTATGAATTAATTATACATTTACATTCAATAATACATTTAATCTTTTCCCCTCTGGTTGATACTTCCAGGTTTTTTTTTGATGTTCTGAACTCTTTCTTCCTCATCATATATCCTGCTCACTTCAATCTCCTCTTTTTAATAACATAACCGATGTTCATATTTCTTGTTCTTTTCCTGTGAGAGCAGCGATGGTATATGGTGGTAAAACTTGGGTGTTGAGGAGAGAGGAGGAAAGTGTACTGCAGAGAGCTGAAAGAGTTATGGTGAAGATGAGGTGTGGGGTTAAAGTGAAGGATAGGAGTAGTACAGAGCTGATGTCAATGATGGGACTGAATGAGGACATTGTGACATTGATAAGGAGATCGAGATTGCGATGGTATGGACATGTGTTGAGAAGGGATGAAAGGGTCGGGATTAGGCGAGCGTTGGAATTCGAGGTTGAAGGAGTGGTAGGAAGGGGTCGTCCGTGATTGGGATGGAGAGAGCAGGTGGAGAAGGACTGGGTGAAAGCGGGTTGCGTGATACTGAGGCGAATGACAGATGTGGATGGCGTCGAGGGGTATTTCGGTTTCATCATAGGCAGCCAAACGGCAACCCCCGATCTCGGGGAAAATGTCGTCTAAACGTGTGTTGTTGTTTGTTCTTTTCCTGATTCCCTTATTTGTGACATGATCCTTGTAGCCAATTCGCATCATTCTTCTGATCCACATGCTCTCGCAGGCATCTAACTTTTTTCCATGGTTCTCGTTAAAGCCCACGACTCAGCCCATAGCATTGTAGGTCTTTTAGTCTTATGTCCCCTGTCTTTAGAAAACTTTGGTATAGTCTCTAAAACGTAACGGCGTGAAGTAGTTTATCCCCGAGAAGCACTCATGAAAGCAGAACGCCACATAACAATTAAGTCTCTTTAAGTGCTACAAATGAAGACATTGATTTGAAATTTTATTGAAAACAATTTTATCTAAAAAAAATTAATTGTAAAGTTGTTTGAAGTCATTCCACTTTGGATAAACTCTTTTGTAAAGTTTCATTAAGACAACGTCATGAGATTTGACTTTATCAAAAAATTTGCATTTCATGTGTCCATGGGTCCCTTTTAATAAAAAAAATCATTATTTGAGATTTATTTAATAAACAAATATTGATATTAATTTTAATAAAAACAATAATGGTAATAATGAATAACAAAGACTCCGATACGTAAAGCATCACTATGCGTGAGTGCTGAGCTGTCTCTTTGATTGGAGCGCCCCCCAGATGCTGCGCCGCAGGAACCAGACTTGAAAGCAAAGAGATGCATGCTGATCTTCGCAGCATGTGTGCTCGTTGCATTTGTCAAGTGTCAAGGATAGTTGCACCAAAAAGAAATAATGCTACATGAATTTCAACGCTGGTCGTTTAATGCTGGCCAAGTGGTATAACGATGAACACCACACAAATGACAGCCATATGATAATATAATGAAACGAATGAAACTACCTAATGGCTCAACGATGTAGCCCAACGCTCCACGTTTTGTTTTAAGATTTACTGGTTTGTACCACAATATGTCCTCTAATGAATAAAAAATTATCAAAAATGTTAACAATATACGCAGAAAAGACAAAATTTAGAAAATTCAACTGAAAACTTGGGAAAATCAATGACAGAAAGAAGTGAAAAATGAAAAAGAATTGCAGAAGGAACCCCTGTTAAAGAACATGTATCTGACGACAGTTGATGATCTATTTATTTTAAATGGATGGCCACTCAGAATTATCCTCTTTACGATGATCCTGTCTGGGTTCACGGATAGCAACGTACCCGTTCCCACCAGCTTATTGTCGTCTGCAGTGAATAAAATCAGTAACAATAGCACCGCTTTTTAAATGTTAATAAAAACAAAAACAAACATTTCTGACTAAAAAGAATAACTTAAGAACGGATAACAAAATAGCTTTTTATTAAAGAGTCAATTTGAAACCAAACAAATCAACACTTCTTCACTTGAGAAAATTAACAAACTATAAAACAAAGAAGCTCATGATTGGATGAAAGATGAGAAGGAAAGGTACAAAAAGGAAAGGAACTGACCAGCATCCCCATCCTTGAACATGAGCACGTTGGCCGGGCTGATGATGATGGGTGCATACACGCTGGCCACCAACGTTGTGTCGGGGTAGAAAAATTTTTCAAACTAAAATAAGTGAATTATCATCTCGTTAATCATTAATTTTTATGAATAGCTCAAAAAATTACTTAAAATCAAGAATAAAATATTTTATGAAAATAATTTTGGAAAATGAGAAATTTTAGCACCAGTTTGGGTGTAAGCTAATCTGATCATGAATTATTTCAAAACATAACAATATTTTTTTTATATGACATTAACCTTACACGCAAATTACTTACCAACATTAAATATAACTAATGCCTGACTGAAACTATCGATGTAAAATCACGTTCAAGTTTAACATTCACCAATTCACACATTCACAAGCATCATAAAGAAAAAATGAACAAAAAGAGAAAATAAGAAAATATCGCAGCATCAGCATTCTCTCAAACATCCGACAAATGAATCATCGGCACGCATGGATGCAACCGACGAACAACAGAGGCAAGCTCCTACCTTGTGGTTAAATGCAGTTGTATGTTTTGAATAGATGGGCCTGCATTTGAACCTGTGGCATCCAACGTGAAGGACCATTGGATCTTTTGATCTGATTGGCTCCTTGTCCCCAGGACAACGACGAATTAAAAAGTGCAGAACAGAAAGTTTTTGTTCGAACGGCAGCAAGGCAAAAGTGACCACTGGGCGGCTTGAATTCACCAACTCTGCAAAGAATGAATATTAAAATATTCATCAGTAATTAAAAGCAATGGCGACAACATGCTAATTAACACGTCATATTAGAATAAAAATAATCATTGTGAACATTAAAAATGATCTCTTGGCCCTCTTTACAACACTCTGTAGAGCACCCATTAACGAGAAAATAAAAAAATTTGCTAGCTGGAGTTCAAGGAACAACACAACATCCATTGCTCTAGTTTTTGTTGATGAACCCGAAAGGGAATGTACATTGAATTGTTGTAAAATTGTTCTCATTCATGCATCATTCAAGTATATAGCAGGCCGATTGAACGAGACTGACCAAGAATACTGGAAGGCACCTCAGCAATGTGAATTGTAACGTATGCACCAGGCTTCACCTGCAATGATCAACATTAACATTTGAAAACATTCTTACTACTTATATAAATATCAATCAATCTTCGTTTCCAGAGACCGAATTCCCCCGAGGTAGGACGTATATAAATAGCACTTGAATAAATTTTAGTTCAATGAAACAACCAAAAAATTATTCGCTAAGGCTGGCCCACTGATAGAGGCAACACGTGCAACAAACGTATAAATAGCCACAATCACAAAAAAACCAGTGGAAGCTTTTTGTCGAACCGTTCTACCTTATTATAAATGACTGACAGCTAACATAGAAACAAATGCAAACAAACGACGCCATAATGTACCTAAGCCCATTCAGAAGAACCAAGAGATATTATTATAACACAGTGTCAACATTACAAACCTTTTTCTCTTCCTGTTCGTTGTCATCCTTTTTGAGGATCTCGTTGACCAGCATCTTCCTCACGGCCTTGAAGTTGTTTAACCGAGTGATTCTTGCATACTCGTTGGGAAGATTTTCACTGCGATCCCACTGCGAGTTGTTCATGCTCTCCAGGCCTATGTACCTGCACGTGGTGGTGGTGTTGGTGCGCCAGTCAGTCGGTCAGTTCAGCAAATGAGGAAAAAAACGTGAACAAATAAACAAATTAACTGTTGAGTTATAAATGCAAATGAATGAAAAAGCAAGTGAGCAACTAGACAAATAAGAAGAGTAGCAACATGAATGAGAATGACCAACTTTTGAAATCTGACTCTGGCTGGCTGGTCCTGTGGTGTGTCGATCTCATCTGGAAACATCCGCTCCATGCGTGCTTCCTTGTGCTTCTCCAGGCTGTGGAGGTTACGAGGGTGTAATGGTAATGGTGATTGTAACGATGGTGATGGTAAGGATAGTGGCGACGATGGTGGTGATGATGATAATGACGACGATTTTGATGATAACAATAACAGTGGTATTGGTAATGATAGATTGAGAGTGGCGATATGTATGGTCAGTAAAAAAACCGAACAAAATATTGCACGGCTTTAAAGAAACTCACAATAAAACTAAAAAGAAGTAATGAAGATGGTTATTTGAGCAGAGAGATGTGATTAAAAAAAATTATTATGATTCAAAAAATTAATTCCAGATGAAAGCAAACTTACAGTCGTTTTTCCTCATCTTCATCAAAATTGTTATCATAAGCATCCCCATCATCCTTCACTGACATCTTTCACAAAAAAATACGTCATAAATCAAAAAGAGAAGAATATGCAGAGATTACAAAATGAATAATTACAGTTTCCATTTCTTCCTCCTCCTCCTCATCTTCTTCACTGTTGTTGTCATCGCTGTCATCATACTGTCGAGTAAGGATAATAATTTGAGCAATTGGCCTAATTGAACAACCACAAAACAAAATAAAACCAGAAGGCACCTTCATACTAATTTCATCTCTCTGGCGAACGAGGTCGTTAAACTCCTTCCTCTCACCATCATCATCATCATCGTCGTCGTCGTCCTCATCACCATCACTGTCTTCTTCGTCTTCATTCGTTTGTTCAAACCACGAAGCTTGGTAATCTGAAAGTCCTTTCGGCACCATTAACTTTTTCACTTTTTTCTTTTGAAAATTCACTGTGCGCACGAAAATGAAAATATGATTTCAAAAATATTTAGGAAGACTTGCAGAGCATGTGCAATCTCAAAAACTTCCAAGATATGCACTCAACTGCACTTCATTTTTATTCTACCAAGACAAAAAATATACGACAATAATAACCAACGAACGACAGACAGCCACTAACGAACGACAGACAACAACCAACGAACGACAGACAGTCACCAACGAACGACAGACAGCCACCAACGAACGACAGACAACCACCAACGAACGACAGACAACCACCAACGAACGACAGCCACCAACGAACTAAAGAACAAACTTTCAGCTTCTTTTAGTTCCTCCTCTGTAGGAAATGTTTGTTCATTCTGCATTTCATCCGGTTCAATTTCACATTCCAAAGACTCCTGCTCCGCTGATTTTATATTTCATGTCGTTATTAAAGTTTCAACATTCTTGATGTAAGCAATAATATGTAACAACAGAGAATCAATCAAGCAGCAAAATGATTCAAATATTAAAAAAATTAAGTAATGAAAGTTGAAATAAACGGAAACCAACCTGGATCAGGTCTGTGAGTGGCCTTCAATGTGTCTCCATCTGCCAGCGTCTGTCATGAATATTTATTTGCCATACTCCACCATAGTTTATAAACTCCAAACACAACTCGTGACGTTCAAACAAAATTATTTTAGCTCAATGACATTTAATTAGCTAAGACGATGATGTCGTGTGGTTAATCTGATTCTTGGGCGTAGTTATAATATTAAATGCTGGCCGTTTCAATATAGTCCAAAAATTCAAAAATCATTATCTGCCTGGCATGAAAACATGCACATGCATATTATCTACCAGGCATGCAGTGCTTGTGTATTCAGTCTTTCTGGTTCAGAAAAGTTTAATCAAAACAAAGTAAGCAACTAAAAGCAGACAGCTCTGAAAAACGCAGATCTGTCTAGATAAGAAAGAATAATTCCCAACATCTGAACAATGGTCATGAAGTTTAAAGCAATTACTTAATCCTGAATATGCGAGATACCAAACAGCACTGTACATTTTTGTAGTCAGGGGTTTTAGTCAGTAAAGAATCAGATTAACCACACAACATCATCTCAACAAACACATAGATGGACACACACACACACACACACACACACACACACACACACACACACATGCCCACCACCAAACCACCTGCTTATTTTTATGGATAAGAGGATGAGGATCTAACAATTCTTCGATCATGGATATCTGGAAATTCCCAAAGCCAGGGAGGTGCAGTAGTTGGTTGGGTGAAAGGCGCGAACCTCTGACGTACCCAGATATTTGCAGTGTACCTTTCATCTACCGATCAACAAATAGCATACAAATGAGCTTTGAAAATAATTTTTTGTACTATCTCGTTATATAACATTATACCACCAAAAACGAACTATGCGCTATTTTCTGATTAAATTAATTTAGAACTACAAAATTATTATTAATGATAATTGAATAATAATTATTAAATAATTAATCATAATTAAATAATTAATCATATCTCACCATTATTCATAACAACCCCTTTAACAACAAGAACAACAATAGTAGTAGTAGTAATAGTTTAAATACCAATCGTCATTTACAGTCAGATCAAAACCATTTAAAAAAAATTATAAACTGACAAATGCCTCTATTTCACAGCAACCCACAAATGAAGCCACCACCAACATGACAACAGAACAATTGAGATGCACCAGCCAATTATTCGGCCTGGCCTTCCCATACTGCCAAAATCTAGGACTCAGGTTCGATCATTTTAAAACGGTGAATAGCGGAATATTTCAATTTTCGTTCTAACAATCATCTATTTTGCTGTTGATTTATTATTTTCATTAGCGTTAAATTTATTTGGGCCATTTTAACTGTTTAAGCATCCGAAACAGAACAAGAGGTTGAATATTATATCGACAAGAAATTGAATCATTGGATAGAAATGAATCGAACATCGTTTTCTCAATAGCTTGTTTTCATTCTAAAATAATTTTTTCGGAATTTAGTGATTTTGGTATCAAGCATTCTACCATTGTTATAATAATTATAACTATTAAAATAATATAATAGAGGCTAAGTAGTGGATCAACTATTTGGCCAGATTCCATCATTTGGTGCATCTCTGCTTAACAATAATCTCCTGCCCCATACCCTACCCATGCAGTACTCACCTCACTGTCAGGCTGGACGTAAGCAACGTGGGAGGCAAACACGTGGGCCCGCAAGTCTCTGTAGGACATTCTGTTCATCTTCTGAGATCCAATCTGTCAAGAGGCAAACAACGTACACAAAACAATTCAGACCGCATCAAATTATTATCTATCATCATCATCACCGCTGGACTAGGGAAACATAATTCCTTCTCTTTATTATTTTAAATAACACTAAATAAGATAATACGATAAGTCATGAAACTGTAACTCGTCCCATCATTCCATGCAAAAAGTATCAATAACTAGTATCTTAAGTTTTACAATTGATACATTTTCTTATAGCAGGAACATTTCTCAGAAATCATAAACATCACGAACACACACACACACACACGCACACTTTTTTACATTGGATTGGAAAAATAAATTAACATATTAGTCATCAGCCTGTATAATTTCATACTTGTAGCCATTCATTTGAAATTATAACAAAAATTATAACTAAAAATAATAATGGCAACAATAATATGTGACTATCATCATCATCAAAAAGAGTTAATTATCGCCTTATCGTCAAATCCCAAATATAAGGTCATTTTTATATCTGGAATTGCCCAATTCCTAATCAATAAGATGCCAATTCCTGAGATTGGATCTCAGAATGTACAGTTGGTACATCGTCAAAAAGAATAACTAGTAAAAACATTATCATTCAAAGTGCTGACGACTTCAACGTGATTATGATTGTGATTACTACTATGGTGAAATGGAGATCATCATTATATGTATGCACTCACGTGGTTCAGCATCATGATAGCATCCTGCGCAGTATCCAATGTGAGAAGTTTCTCGTCTGGAAACCTGTCGATGATGATCATGTGATAAGGAGTATGGATACAATTGAGGAGTGATGATCATGTGATAAGGAGTGTGGATACAATTGAGGAGTGATGATCATGTGATAAGAGATGGATACAATTGAGGAGTGATGATCATGTGATAAAGAGCGTGGATACAATTGAGGAGTGATGATCATGTGATAAGGAGTGTGGATGCAATTGAGGAGTGATGATCATGTGATAAGGAGTGTGGATACAATTGAGGAGTGATGATCATGTGATAAGGAGTGTGGATACAATTGAGGAGTGATGATAAGGAGAGTGAGATTATTTAATGTGATGAGATGATTTACTGTAAAAAATTATGTGGCTGGTCAGTTAGGAAAAATTTATTTGATGCTAAAAAAAAGTAGAGGTGCATCAGTATGTTACTCGAATGATACTATATCAATCATAATCTCTATAATATATCAGAAAAAAATCGAAGGATACTATATCAATATCATTACATCAAGGAGAGACATCATATTTACCACCGACGTGATTATTTTTATCATTAGACACAAATTTCTACTCATGATAGATAATATGATGAAAAACCAACCAATCAATCATTTTAATAAATAACCAACCAACTAACCAATCAATCAATCAGCCAGCTAATCATCCAATCAACAAACCAACCAACTGGTCAAATAACTAATCAACAAACCAACCAATTAGCCAGCTAACCAATCAACTAACCAACCAATCAGCCGGCTAACCAACCAATCAATCTACCAGCCAAACGACCTAGATGATAAAGATTTGATAATATCCTTCTTCTTATCTGCCTGCTTCTTTACCGGCAATTGTTTCAATCCCTACATAAATAAACAAAATCTTCTCTCTCATAATGATCAGTAAGATTTTAAAAACAAAAAAAATAGATATTTATTATCACTGAGGAACATGTTATGCATTTTATTTCAAAATTCTAAAGCTCACTCAGAAAATGTGCTGCACAAGTCAAGAAATAAAATACAATAAAATAATTATTTTTATAATCATTGCTATCAATCATTCTCATTCTCAATCATTCTTTATTAAATTTGTCCTTGGGAAAATAGTCTTAAAATTCAGTTAACTTGAAAAGCAAGAAAATGAAAGCATTGAAAATGAGCGAATGAATGAAGCAGGAATAAACGAACCGAGCAGCAGAGAGTCACACTGCAGAGTCCCTGGTTGAAGAGGCATGCCAATATCTTCTCGGCCGATGAATCCACAAACCTGCCACAACCATCCTCGCCACCGTCTTCTCCGTCGACCGCCATGTCGTCGTCAGCTGCACTGCCGCCGTTTTGTTGGCCGACAGGCACGAGCAGCATCAAGCAGTCAGACACTTTTGTGGCATCCATGTAGTCGATGAGGGAGGTGGGAAAGATGAACTCGTACCTCTGCTTGAACCTCTGACAACTGACAGTCATAAATATGTGCAGTACATGCATTAATAAGTCATTCCTTAACTGAGAGGTTATAAATGCAAACATTAACAATTCTTTCCTCAATATGATGACAGTTATCATGATGAAATTAAACAAAAGTCAATTAAAAACAATGACACCTAGTTACACTAAATGGTCATCATAATTAAAAATGCAAAGTAATTTCAAGTTTATTCCAAATTAAATTGTTAATAACGTTCATTTTTAAGCATAATGAGTAAACTACAATCCAAATTCCCAGTATATCCTGTCATTCAATTCTGAAATAGAGCAAAATCTAAAAATTGTTGAAACGGCAGCCAATGTACAAACCGAACATGACAACTCCTGTGAGAGGCGGTGACAAGAACGTCATCGCAACCTTCGAAGAGCCTCGCCAACACGTCTGCTTCATTGATGTGTGGCTTGCAGGTTGGAAGTACGGTCTATAGAGTTATTTATCAATAAAATGCAGGTTGCAAGTACAGTCTGTAGAGTTATTTATCAATAAAATGCAGGTTGGAAGTACGGTCTGTAGAGTTATTTATCAATAAAATGTAGTTTACTTCATACTTATTAGTTAGCAGTAACAAAATTATCTCAGTAATTTAGTCTACTTTGGTTGAAAACAGAGTTGAATATAATTAAAAATTACAAAGCTGTCAGCCAGCAATGACAAGATAACAAGATAGTGTGCTGGAATATGAAGAATGATCAAACCACAAGAAAGGGAGGCGTGTTGTGCGTGCCACGATTTCTTTTTTGCTCCAAAATTTCCTCACGCTTCTGATTTCTTAATTGTTTTAACTTTATAAATGAATAAATTAATAAATTAAAATAACATCTAATGACTAAATTACAAAAATGAAAAAAATTGAATTAATAATTCAAATTAATTAAACTTTATTTATATTATTCTCCAACTTGAATGAAAATTTTCAAAACAAATAAAAATTTTATTCTATGCTATGTTACGCTGCTCTGAAAATTAAACTTACATGCCACAAATGTTGTAACTTGGCATATTACACATAGGAAAGGCCTTCATTTTTTTAATAAAACCGATCATTTTAAAATTGTGAGAAGATTGTTTGTACTTTATTGTATGTCATTAGAAGAGAAGATTGATCAATCAATTGATTGATTGATTGATCATTAGAAGAGAAGAGCTTTATTCAATATTCGATGATTATTTTTATTAATTGTATTATTATACAACATATAATATATATACAATAAATATTACATAATTTCTAAATATGGGTTATATTTTACAATTTTGATGGAATTGATAATGAATAACAATAATGATGGATTCCATTCAAAATTCATGAAAACCAAAACAACGAACTTTGTTCCTCTTCTCGTGTTTATTCAGATGCCCTTTCTCTTTTTTAGTGATAGTTTTAACATTAGCTTTACCTTCAAAAAAAAAAAAATATAAAATTAGTTGACAACATGAAAACTGTTGGAGAATGAAGATGTAATTGGACTGAACATTAATTGATGATTGATTTGATTTGGAGGGCTGTGACAAGATTTTTATACTGTCTTGATCTTGCCTTGAGACTTCAAAATGTCAGTCTTGACTTTGTCTCGTTTTACGACAATGTCAGTCATGGCCATGATTTTTTACTGTCTTGATTTGTATTTACAACAGGATGCAGATAGGAAATTATTTTTTATACAAAACAAAGTTTTCAACCATTCATGGTAACTTCTATAAGCATATGTTAAACATGCATTCAAACACACATATATATATATACATAATAGAAACATCAAACATGCTAATATATTTTGAAATCAAATTTCTCATTCATAGTGATACTTCATGTTAATATCTGGTAATGTTTTTTGGTTAATAAAAACTTACATGTAAACAAATATATAATGTTCAATGTGTACATGTGTACTATATACAAATTTACACAAACATAGGTGGATATATATATATATCTATTATATATATTATATATATATAATTTAATATATATATTTTTATATATTTTTTTTATATTTTAATTATATATTTATATATATTTGTTTTAAATTAGGTGACAGAAATCCAGCTCAAACTGACTTCTTTAAAAATACTCAATAACATTTTTTTAAGTTTTAACCTCATGGTCACGTTTTTGTCACGAACTTCTTGTCTTTGTCATTGTCTTGAGACATGTTCTTTTAAAATATTAAAATTTTAATTTTAAAGTCTCATCTTGGTCTTGTATTGAGCTCTCAGTGGCTGTTTCGTCTTGTTTTTAAAAAAACACTGTCAAGTCACAGCCCTGTTGATTTGACATCTGATACTTTAAGATTAAGATTGAATTGAAATTGAAGAATGAGAACATTTGAGAGCCATAGACACACGTGAATATAATCAACGTTAAAATACATATATTAAGACATTTAAATATATTTTAACGAAATAATTTGTTCAAAGTACCTTTCGTCACTTCCGAGATGGAACCCTTGCTCCGATGTCGGCCAGTTTTGTGAGATTTGTTCGGATGTTTGAGAACACCGGGACGATGAGCGATATTAGAATCCATAATATCGAATTGAATTAGCGACAAAACAAATGACAACAGATTCGCCAACCAAAGAGCATAACAATAAATAGAGTATCAGGGTAATGAACGGAAAATGATGTAGAAATAAAAATTAAAAGCATTTCAATAATTTACAAATAAAAAAAGCAGATTTTAGAGGCAGCGCCATGGGAGTCTCTGGTCAGTCTCTGGCAATGGAACCGCTGAAACGGGGATTGAGAAGTTTCTAAAAACAGAAAAAGAAGCTTCTAAAGTTTGCGAGGGCTGGAATTGTAAAAACTTTTGTCGACCTTTTTATATTATACATAAAAATAGGATCAATCATATACATAGGACCACATATATAATTATAGTATTATACTTAATTAATTAATTAGAACCACAATTATATAGAATGAAATGATTAATGATGGGATCTTCATCACTACGAAACAATGGACAAAACGCAACCGCCATCTCCGGACTAACTGAACAGATGTTGTGATGCTTTAGTCCGGAGCTTCTGCCTAATGGAGAATTCCCCCTTGCCTACGCCGTCTCGAGCTGTTTACGGATTTGTACTCTATTTATTTTCCTGGGTTGGATTAGGTAAAAATTTTACCATAAAATGTAAAAATGTTTGTAGTGATTTCGTTAGACTTGAAAAACAACGTGACGAACAAAAAATTCAAAATTAATATTAAATTAATAAAATTATTAATATTTTGTTTAGAATAGAATAGAGTAGATAGAATAAAATTGTTCATTTTTATAATTAAATTATTTAATTTTTTTTTTTAAATAAAATTAATAAGTAAAATTAAAGTTGTTTAATAATTAATTTAATTTTGAATTTTTTAAATTGAAATTATAAAAAAATTATAATTTATAATATAATAAATAAAAATATAATATAATTATATACTAATTCATTTTCATTATTAAGCATTTGCATTTGGATTTTGATTTGCAATTTACCCTTAGTTATTTTTAGTAATTACTTTTATTTTATTTTATTTAAAATTTATTTTAATTTATTTTATTTTATTTATTATTAAAATTTTATTTTATTTATTTAAATATAAAATCTTTAATTTGTGCATTCATAAATTAAAAAGTGTGATTTGTTGGGAAGAATAAGAATAAAAATTAAAAAGTCCTAAAAGTTATTGTATCATTGTATTTAAAATTTAAATTTAAAGATTTTATATTTATATTAACATAATCATAATGATTATAAAATTGAAAAAATGCTAAAGAACCAATGTTATAAATCATGTTGTTAATTTTAATTTAATTAATTGTATTTCTTGCGACTGAAGTTTTGCATCTCATCTGGGCATACACACCTGATGAATGGCTACATGCAGTGGGCGTCTATTACTATCCCCAGAAGTAATGTTGTCAAATTAATTATATTACATTTATCACATATTAATTATTTAATTAATTACATTACATAACTATTAATATTATGACAATGCATAATTTGATGGCTCCAAGCAGAAATCATAATTTTTCATTGTTTCACCAAAAAGGAAAGATGAAATGCCATTAAAGGCTGATGTTTGTGTGTATGTGTGTGTTTGTGTGTGTGTGTGTTTGTGTTAAAGAAATCAGTAAATAAATGTCGGTTTTAAAAATAATCAGCCAATAAAACCTCCAGCTAAAACAGTTTATATATTTTTAGTAAAATATCTAATAAATGATAGATAATGATAAACTAAATAAAGAATACTAAATAAAATAATGAAAACTAGATGAAAATAATGTATCAAAGGTAAAAGAAATAGAGAATAATAATAAATTATGAAATTAATAATTATTATATTAAGCTGAACGCGGATGGAGGATGTTTGAGCGCAGTTACGGCTAGAGTTCGTGTAGGATGGATGAAATTTAGGGAACTGGGTGGGGTATTGTGTGGAAAGAAATGGTCAGTGAAGATGAAAGGGAGGGTATATAAAGCATGTGTGAGAGCAGCGATGGTATATGGTGGTGAAACTTGGGTGTTGAGGAGAGAGGAGGAAAGTGTACTGCAGAGGGCTGAAAGAGTTATGGTGAGGATGATGTGTGGGGTTAAAGTGAAGGATAGGAGGAGTAGTACAGAGCTGATGTCAATGATGGGACTGAATGAGGACATTGTGACATTGATAAGGAGATCGAGATTGCGGTGGTATGGACATGTGTTGAGAAGGGATGAAAGGGTCGGGATTAGGCGAGCGTCGGAGTTCGAGGTTGAAGGAGTGGTAGGAAGGGGTTGTCCACGATTGGGATGGAGAGAGCAGGCGAAGAAGGACAGGGTGAAAGCAGGGTTTCGTGATACTGAGGCGAGTGACAGATGTGGATGGCGTCGAGGGGTATTTCGGTTTCATCATAGGTAGCCAAACGGCAACCCCCGATCTCGGGGTAAATGTCGTCTAAACGTGTGTTGTTGTATAGTATTAAATAAAATAAAAAAATAATGTACTTGATGAAATTTTCTTTTCAGAGCATGGGCAATAGCAGTGCCTCTGGTAGGTTGCTCGTTGTTCGTACTGATCTTCTATGTCATCTACCCGTCTATAAGTGCTTTCATCACCAAGAGATTGGACTCCATACATACCATCACTGGCAAGTAAACTAGTATTAATTAGTGAATGATTGATTGATTGATTGATTGATTTGATTGATTGATTGATTGATTGATTGATTGATTGATTGATTGATTGATTGATTGATTGATTGATTGATTGATTGATTGATTGATTGATTGATGGAATGAATGATTGATTGATTGATTTATTTAATTAATTTTGAAAAAATGATTGAATAAATGATTGAATAAATAAACATAATGAATGGAGTGGATAAATGAATGAATAAATGAATGAAAATGATTAAATAAATAATGGATGAATGGAGATGATTTAATTTATGACTGAATGAATGAAAGAACGTGTGAATGAATGATGAAAATTGGTGAGAGAATAATATGACGAGGGTGGGTTATAATGATGATGATACCTATAATAATAATAATAACAAAGACAAATTGTGATGAAACTAATAAGAATGATGACGGAAGTGATGAGGAAAAATAATTTTCCTCTTTTTTTATTTTCTTTTGTTAACCTTCAATAGATAATTGGATGCATGTTTTGAGTAAAAAATTGATAATTTTATTATTTAAAATTATTGTTCTACAGATTGTCATGCAAAACATATCGACTTCGAAGCAGACGACATCCAAAATAAATCTATCCTTCCAATATCTGATCTAGACATAATACATATTAACGATGTCTTGTATAGGTGACTGTTTATAAATTTGCATGTACATTGTGAATATGAATATGAATAATGGCTTAATTGTTTTTGATTATTTTATTCATTTATAATTCATAATGTTTTTTATTTGTCTATTTGTCTGTTTTATGTTAATGATGTTTTGGTTACTTTTTTGTACTTACATCTATGTCTGATGGGGGTGTTTTTGTGGGCTATTATGAACTATGTAAATATTTTTTAGCGTACTTGTTTGTGTTACACTGCTGGTTACTTATGTTTTAATAATTGTCATTTTAATACCGTAAAAACGTAAAACATTAATATTGAATATTTCATTTGTATTTACTTAAATTAAATTAAGCAAGAATTTTTTTTATTAAATCAGTACCGTCCCATCAAACTGGTAAAATAACTTCTAATAATAATAACATGTTACTGCAAAACAGCATCAGGCCACCTTAACCGTTAGGCCATCACGCCGCTAATTAGCTAGCCATCCAGCGAGAAAACAAGTTTTGAATCGAAACTCGCTGAAAGACTTTTGCCCTCTTTCAACCACGGTTCGAATGTACAGATACACGCACACACACTAGTTGGAACTATTTGATCTCGTTTTGTGTCTGATTTCCATGAACTCACTTCACAAGCAAAAGTTCACTCATTTGCTGCAGCTTATCATTTATATTCAAACAAGCCCAGCAGACGGATATATACAATACCAATCATTTAAATAGAAAAATATTATAATAAAATGTCAATTCTTTTTTAGATAAAAATCCACTATAGAAAGACAGCAGACATAAATACGCGAGAATTTAGGAACTGATGTATGATTGTGCTGTTGTATGAGAAGACCAAGAAAAAAATAGTATTCGTTTTGTTTGGACAGGCTGGACATATGTTTCGGCACTCATCGGCAGCCCGAATACCTATTAGAATCATATCGCAGATTTTTCCTTAATAGCCCCACGAATTACTTTGTTAGTTTGGGGTGTTTTTATTTATTTTAATGATTGTTAGTATTAGTCGTTGGGATTTGCGATCCGACAGCATCCAGTCATTGTGACAGCAGGACTTGGTGTCATAACCAATTACGCCATTTCGCCGCTCAAACAAATTACTTTTTAACAAAGTATATTAACATTACGTTACGTTATTTAAGCAAGCATAAAAAAGTTATATATTTACAATGTTAATAAAAGCATCAATTTGTTTTAAACGCATGAGAGCAAAAATCACTTTAATGGGCCACATCAACACCATAAAGTTGCTGAACAAATTCGCCATCAGCCTTATTTTTTTTTTATCTTCTATATTTTTTCAACTGTAAAATTTCTTCCGTAGGTATACGTTGTCATTAGCGTCTTCATCACTTTTCACCACATTTCCATTGAGTCCGTTTGATGTTTTTTCTTTCATCCTTGAAGAACAAGTCCGGTGGCAAGGAAATAAGCGACAAACCACGTGATACGCAGCTGAAGACGTCCACACCTTCAATTGCAGCAGCATCGCTTTCAACTCTCTACGTAATTTCTTACCGGTAACGCAGTGGAGGTAAAAATTTGAAGCGTGGTTCGAAAGTAGCATCACATTTGTTAAAGTCTTTACTAATCGAAATCAGTAGTGGACAGTTTTCAAGGGTATTATTTTTAGAGAGTTATCTCATTTTTGAAATATATTTTTCATTAAAAAACAAAAATGCAAAATATACCTATTAATCGCAATAGTAGATTATATAGGTTAAAAGTTAAAAAAGGTTAAAATTATAAGATTATATAGGTTATGCCCACCTTATTTAAAATTTCATAAAAAATCAAAACTAAATTTACTTCGGAATCGAATGAGCGAAACGATCTCTTAAACAAAAAACTTAATCTACACTATAGACGATAAAATATGGTGCAGTTAAAAAGACGAAAGCAAATGAGAGATTGAGTAGCATGATCACGCAATTTCTTTCATCTTGTCGTCTTCTTATGTGATTTTTAGCAGCGGTGCATGATGTGAACTTTTTAAGACATTGCCTGAAACCTTTTGCAAAAAAATGTACAAAGTTGAATATTGTTTCACAATGAACAAAATATTGTTATTAAAAATAAATAAAAAAACTCATATAACATAATCCAAATTTAAAAATTTCCACTAAAAGTATTGGAATGGGAGTTTTGGGATTGCTATGGTTCCCAGGGCTGGCCTTAGGTAGTAGAAGGCCCTAGGCAAAAAAAATTTGATAGCCATTAGTGACATCTTTTAAAAATGTGCACAAAAAATTTTACCCATTTAAAAAAATTTCATCCTGAATACGTTTATTTTATGAGGCTGCTACATCTTTCTTTTAATATTACTGATTCTTGTCTATCTTGGTTTTCTTCTTATCTCTGTAATCGTTTTTCTTCTGTTGTTCTCAATAATTCTACTTCTAACTCCTATACTCTTACTTTCGGGGTACCCCAGAGTTCTATCCTTGGCCCTCTTCTATTTATACTCTATACCTCTGAACTACCTCGTGCATCAGGGGCATGGCATGGGAGGTCCTAAGCAGATGCCAGGGCGTTTTTTAAGAAGGGGCATTTTTAAGTACTACTTAACCCTAAAACTACATACACTTTCAGTAGAACTTGTAAACAGCAATAAAATATTAAAACATAAAGGATCTAATTTTGTTATCACTATCTATCTATTTAATGAACGAATTCCAAGTTTTGATTAAAATTGCCCTAAAATGAAATACCGTTTTTGAAAACTAAACGTATAAAACTTTTGAAATAAGTAAGTTAGTTTGAGGTATTAATTTTGGTTCGTGATGGAATATGTTGGCCCGTTAAGTGCTGCTGCTGCGTCTTAATCTTGTGGGAGATGTGAACGAAATGAATGAAAGTATTCCCGCCATGCCATCACGGATTCACCAGACGAAATTTTAATATTAATGTGAGAGTTGAGTTACACATTATCTCGTGGTTTGATGATACTGTGAAATATCATTAGAAATAAAAAAAAACCGATTTGCTTATCTTGATAACTCAGAAACCTACTTGCCACTGACTGTGTTGTTATATCTCTGCCATGTTGTTTGCTTTCTTAATCAAGAACTCCTTAAAAACGATTCAAGTGTATGAATATTATTTTAAAATTTTCAAAACGCCACCGCGGTCAAATGATCACGTCAGTCTTATTCTACCAACCAAAAATGTTTTTTTGAACATTATTGCTTCTGTCAATATCAACTTGGATAACAAAATAAAAATCTTTTCAACAATTTCAAACATGGAACGTCAGTGGGATATTGATTGGGTTTTGCAACTTTCCATCGTACAACTAAACAAAGAAAACACTATCTCATCTCATAATCATCACGTTGGTTGCATACAAGGGCGTCGTCAATTTCTGCTTGAATGTTGGGGGCGATAATCCCTCCATGGATAAACTTTTTAGCTTAGCCGGTTTAAAATATTCTAAAAAAAGTGAACCCGTTAACGTTATAGGTAACAAATGGCCTTTATTTTATTGATAACTACAAAAATTCCTATTCTTAATTTCAACCAGTTTTTTAATCCCTCCCAACTTAAAGTAGGGGCAATAGCATTATGGTCGCATACGTCTCTGGCGTTGTGATCGCATACTTGCACTGCAGGCATAATAATACGCAAGTATATCCTGAAGTACGTAGTATGCACAAACAAACACACTCACACAATTGTCCTCAAACAAACCCGGATGTACCAACATCAACACGCGTCTTTTCTAATCATTATTTTCGCTAATTAGGCAAATCAGGTTACTGGCTATTAATGAGATTTTTTCAACATTCGGTGACAAAAGCATATAAATTTTCTGACATTTCACTGAGATTTGCTTGTTTGGGTTTAATTTCTAGCACTTGGTGCCTTTTTAATACTTAAATAATTTTTCAAAATCTTTTCTTAAATTAATTTAAATCATCTTGTACGTTTTTATAACTTTTTTTTAGTCTTTATTATTGCAGCTCTGACATACGCAGAACCACTTACAATGTTACAGATATCTATATATCTTTTATTATCTTCTTCATATCTTCATCCATTGATTTGAAGCAGCCATCTTCGCCACAAAGGCTGTTTATCTTTTTCACATCACGTACACATGTATTTTATGTGCACGCGCAAGCACCGCATCATATACGCTGAGTATATGATAGCCATTGAGATGTTTGACTTGGCGTACATTTGAACCACTGAGCCATCTCGCCGGCCCACATGCGACAACTTACGTCGACTCCCCATTGACCAACCTCGGAAGGGTGGATGGCTGGGTTGGCTGTCATAACATAACTATGGTTAATTAAAAAATGTACAAGAGGATGTAAATTAATTTA